AAGAGGAAGAAGAAGAAGGGGGTAAGAAGAAGAAGGGGAGTAAGAAGAACAGGTGGGGGAGTAAGAAGAACAGGTGGGGGAGTAAGACGACCAAGGGGGGAAGTATGAAGAACACAGGGAGGAGGGGGTAAGACGAACACAGGGGGTGTGAGGAGAACACATAGAGGGAGGAGTGAGAAGAACACAGGGAGGGTGGAGGGGGGATGAGAAGAGCACAGGGAGGGTGGGTGAGTGTGAGAAGAGACCGCTAGGGGAGGGTGGGGAGAGGAGAGACCACTAAAGGTGCAGGGGAGAGCTCTACGGGACAGAAGGGGCAGCTCTATAGGACAGGGGCCAAGACAGGGAGCTCTTTCACACCACGCGCGCACACACACACACACACACACACAATGCATCCCTATACATACACAGAAACACAACATGCTTCCCTTACACACAGAGAAACACACAATGCATCCATTACACACACACACAATGCAACCCTTACACACAAAGACAATGCATCCTTTGCACACATACACAGAAACAGACAATGCAAACCCGTACACACACATGCAAACACACACACTTCTTTTCTTACATACACACAGAAACACAATGCATCTCTTACACTCAATGCACACACATACAGACACACACTTTGCATCCCTTATGCATACAAACACAGATTCACACAATGCATCCCTTACACACAACCAGAAACACATAATACATCCCTTATACACAAATACACACTGCTTCCACTACACACAAACACACTACATCACCTGCACAAACTGGTAACCCTATACACTACATACCATAAGCACACATATTAGATCCTCTACAATAACACATAACACATCCCCTACACACTCCACTCCCTGTGAGCGAACTCATGGGTGGGTGGAACTTATGAGTGGGCCTTATGGGCATACTCACCGTCAGGCCCTGGGGCCCAGACCTTGAGCTGTGTAAGGGGCCCCAAAAAATGGAGCTGCTTCCAATTCTCCCAGAACATTGAATTTTGTGACCACAGTTGCAAACAGCCTCCAGAGATCCTGTTCTACACCAGACCAGTGGAGCCAAACTGCAGCCCATCATCATCCTCATCTGCTTGTAAGTAGGCAATCTAGTATATTATTAGTGACACTAATCTATAATGTACCTCACATTAAAGGGACACTATAGCTTAATGAAGTGGTTCTGGTGTCTATAGCTGGTCCCTGCAGGCTTTTTAATGTAAACACACACTGTGTGCAGCACTGGCGTTAGTTCATATGGGTGGGGCATTGTGATGTCACATGGGGGGGCAGCAAATTTTTATTTTGTCTAGGGCGGCAAAAATCCTTGCACCGGCTCTGATCCTGGGCAGGTGCACCAGTCAGGAGGGGAGTGCACTGATTGCACTGCACTCTCCTCCTGTCCAGCCCCATCTTTACCGCAGTGCAAGTGCCCTCTGCCCCTAATTTACAGTGGCTCACACTCACAACAAGCAGTGCCTGGAGCCGTGAAGGAGCGGGTATGGCAAAGAGCTACTGATTAGCATAACATCAATATCCGTTATAAAACCAGGAAAAGGTGGGCATGGATGGTGAACTGATTTGGTGGTGCAATGGGCCACTTGACTGGTTTTGCCCTCCAGGCCTAAGGCTGCCAGCCCTCCCCTGATTAACAGGATTGCTTATGGCATTTTCCTGTTTCTGAGGTTTTAAGGTTTTCAGAACCTCAGAATAAGTCCTCTTTTTCTGTTGGGTTTCTAAACCTAACTGAATTTTAGTCTCTGACAGTATTTTATCACAAGGTTTCTTAACCTTTTGATGATTTCTATCATGTGCATGGTGTATAGTATACAATTTCATTAATTGACTGACTAGCCATTCTAACGGTAATTTACAATCATAATCTCTTGAGAGATTCATCTGTATGTTTACTGGAAAGGCATGAAAATACAGATCTTTGGGCCATGGAATATGCATTTTTAAGAATTATTAAAAATTCTCTGGGGCTTTGATCTGTATGGCACTTTAAGTTATAAAGCACTTTCTTAGCAGAATTAATGGTTTTATACTTACCATATTCCCTGATTATCTCAGATTTCATCTTTGACCAGGACATTAGCTGTATAGCTTGAAGACTCTCCAGATAGATACGGCACATTGAATCAAAGGTCCATGTAATGTACCATTTCTTATGGATGTCATCATTCATGCCCAATTAATTCATGGCTCTTTCATAATTTTCTAGGTGCTCAGATATGTTTCCTGAACTTCTAGAAAATTGTGGGACTGTCTCTTTAAGGAATCGTATTATCTTAGGAGTTTCATAGACAGGAGTAATTGATTTATTACTCTTGTTTCTAGTGTCCCTGCTTTTAGGTAAACATCTGTGAGATCTAGCTGTTGAATATTAGGTCCGTATAACAGTGCAGATGGCATAGCAGTCACATGGCCTTCAGATTAGACGGTGCAATCACTTTCACTCCCATCACTCTGAGCTTCTCGCTCACTATCACAATTCTGATCAGCATCAGAGTTCTGACAGTGCACAGATCCATGTCTGCTTTTACTCCTATCATCATGAACCTGATTCCTTTCCTCAAGCTTGGCCAAGACAGTCTTTCAAACTGTTCTGCCCAAGATTGCCAGATTTTGGCAATATCATCGGATGAGGAATCGTTTTCCACAGGTGTTTTCTCAGATTTGCTCACAACTTTCCTTTTGGACTGTTTTGGGAAAATCTGCTCTGGTGTGGGAAAATCATAATAAGGAGGGGATTTACAGGCAGCCCTTTCTTTTTTTTTTGAATATTTAATCTTTATTTATTTATTTTTTATCCTTATTAAATACATATATCATACAAATACATATATCATACAAATTTACAATACAAAAACGACATAGCAGCAAAATAGGGGAGAGAAAAGAAAAATACGTCAAAAAAGTTTCCATAGTAGAGTGGTAATATCATTTAAATAAATCTCATAATTATTTACAATGTTCATGGAATTATTCTACTTCTAATTGATCGGCATTATTTTCTACATCAATCATCTCAATACATTTTGACCAAACAGAAACCTTATTACTTAGTCTTTGTTTACTTAGCATCAACTCCATTTTAATCTGAAACTCGAGTTGAATTTTAACTTTCTTCCAGGGGACTTCTAAATCCTTTTTCCATCATCTCGCAATTACTATTTTAGCAGCTAAAAAAAGATGTATAAGAATTGCTTTTAACTCATATGTCATATGAGGCCAATTCAAATGCAACAAAACTACCTCTGGAGAAATTATCAACTCGAGTTTTAAATTATTGGATATAAAATATTGTATTTTCAACCAGAGATTCTTTAGTTTATGGCAATCCCACCAAATATGTCTAAAATTGCCTCTAGTACTATTACATCTCCAACAGATAGGATTGATTAAAGGGTAAATTTTGTTCAATTTAGCTGGTACTAAGTACCACCTGTTTAAAACTTTAAAGTGTGTTTCTAATAAGTTTAATGAATGTATATTTTTCTTAACATCCGTCATTGAAAAACCCCATTGATTCAAATTAATATCAATATCCAAATCTTGTTTCCAAACCTGTATGGCAATAGGGTTTGTATCTTTAGCCATTGATTTAATTAATATCAGAGCTTTAGAAAGTGGTTTATTAATTTTTTTTTACGTGAATAATAAATCAATCAGATTGCTCAGATTAGATTTTGGTATTATAAGGTGTGTATTCATATAACTTTTAAGTCTTAAAAATTAAACACCTCTCTTGGAGGAAGCCCTTTCTTGTATTTTTGTGCAACTTTTTGGTACACAGTGATGACTACTAACCTCACTGTCTGATTTTTGACTCTCCTTTTCGTATTTCTCCAACTGCTTTTTAAGCTGATTTACTTCCTGTGCATGTATATCCACCATAACTTTCAGTTCTTTTTCATGATCAGCCTGACGGATATCATGTTCAGCAAGTAAATCTTTGTATTTCCCACCTTGAATTACCAACCTGTCTCTGTATATGTCCAATCTGGTATTCAGTACCCTGATTTCTTCTAACATCTTGGAGGTCCT